AAATCTGAGGTTGCAGGAAATAGATGAGTTTCTTACACCATTGAATAAATCACGAACAGAAGCTCAAAAAGAGGAGTTAAACATGTCTGTTTCAGAAGAGGAAATATGGACAGCTCTAATGCTAATGGAAGAAGAAAAGACCCCAGGCATTGATGGTCTCCCTAAGGAATTTTTGGAAGTCTTATGAGACTTCCTCTCACAAGACCTCATGGACTTCTATCGGGCAGTCTGGTCTTCTGGGCAAATGGGAGAATTTGTGGGCCAAGGGATATTAACTCTTCTTTACAAAAAAGAGGATATAACCAACATTCGTAACTATCGCCCTATTACCCTTTTAACAATGGTCTACAAACTTATGGCGAAAACCCCCGCCAATAGACTATCCAAGGTCATTGCTAAAATTATCCACCCAACACAAACTGGGTTCATTATAGGTAGGAATATTCAAAATAATATATTATTAGTTAATGAACTGATTAGGTTATCACGCCAATCTAAACGCAATGCAGCCTTCACATTTATAGATTTTGAAAAAGCTTATGACCATGTGGACTGGATATTTTTAGACAAATGTCTAGAAAAATTTAACTTTGGTCCAAGCTTCAGAAAGTGGGTAAAAATACTGCATACGAACGCTACCACCAGGGTTATGGTAAACGGTAATCTAGCCCCCCCTATCTCATTACAGAGATTGGTACGACAGGGAGACCCAATTGTCCCCTTTCTCTTTGTCATAATTATAGAGGCTTTGGCAGCGAACCTCAGACAACATAAAGACATTAAAAGAATTCAAGTGTCGTCTATTCCAAAGGAAGTCATTCTTGTCTGCTCTCTCTTTGTTGATGATCTGTCCCTGATGGTAGAAGCATCAAATGAGAACTTAGGAGCAATAAGCAAGCTAATAGATAGATTTTGTAGACTGTCTGATATGAGGGTTAATTGGGGTAACAAGACCATGGGTTGGTGGATTCATCAGCAAGGAGTAAGACCCCTTGAATTACCTCAAGTAAAATGACTCTAATTGGATACCCCCATTAGAGTATTAGGAATTTCCCTATCAGCAGTAGGAAAACCATCAACCAACAACGAGTGTATAAGTAAACGAGCATATGCTAAGTTGGAACTCTGGAAGGGTAAACAAACTTCCCTCTTTGGGCGTACTCTGGTAATTAACAATGCGGTCTTAGCCTCGATCTGGTATAAATCAGCAATATGGGCCCTAGATAAGAAAGTGTTAAAGGCTCTACAACGTCAATTATCAGTCTTTTTATGGAGAGGTAATCATGAGCTCGATAAGGTAATTAGCAGAGTTGCTTGGCAATCAGTGATACAACCTAAGACTAGAGGAGGATTGGGTATCATTGACCCTTCTTTACAAGTTATGGCCTTATCAGTTCAATGGATTAAACGCCTACTTTTTAATCCCCAGACTCCCTTGAGTGTGTTGGCATGAGAACAGATCAGACGCCTAGCCCCGATATCACTAGACTACATAGATCCTATGATGTGGTTAGAAAATAGGTTGTGGCCTATACCGAAAGGTACTTTGAACGAACCACTAGACCAATGTGTATCAAATAGGAGGGCAACAAAAATAGACTTACATAACGATGCATTTTGGCCTAACCTCATCAAAACATGGAGGAAATTACCACTAACAGATCGAAACCCTCCTGAAAGATGGGAGAAAGTATGTCAACAACCACTCTTTGATAATAGTCTCCCCAAAGATCCCCAGGGATGTGTCCTTCACTGTACGGATTCCCCTTGGAAAGCTTGGAAGGGGTGGGTTAAAAATGGTATTAGGATAAAGGACATCTGGGATAGTGAGAGAAGAGAGTGGATTACCCCTTCACAATTACAGACTCATCTTAGATATTGTCATCATACTGAGAAAGCCTTAGACAATATAATTGATTGGATACCATTGGATTGGGTAAGGATTCTAAAAAAGGGTCCTCAGATATTGGAAAGTGATTGGGTGGCTATAAAAGATAATCCAAGTGTCTTAGGCAATATTGTTGTAGTATTGGAAAATGGGGAAGTCCTCCTTACCACATATGAATTGGATTGTAATCTCAATGTCATGATCAACGATCAGAACAGTATAAGTAGGGTGACAAAAGATCAGATATTCAGGGTCAGAGTACTGAGGCACAAAGAAAAATGGATAGCTTTTAAACCTGATACACCTATAAGTCATCTGACCCAGGATCCTGATAATTGGAAATGGTCAAATACAGGAAGGAAAGGAACGACATACTCCTGCGCCCTTCACACATTATCAGTAAAGTCCACTTACAGGATGTTTCATCCCAGAATTCTGTTAAAGGATAAAGTAGAGGAAAGATGGATGAAGCATCTAAATATTAATAAAGAATTATTAAGAAAGGTAAAATGGTTCAGTAAGACCAAAATTAAACCTGCAAAAGTGGCTTCACTGCAATGGCAAATAGAGCATAGGTGCCTACCTACAAATAGCTGGCTTATAGATAGGACAACACTGGAACAAAGGGGAATAGCGCTTCCCTGGTGTAAATTTTGCAGGTCTGCATTTCCATCCAAATTAATTCCTGAGACAATTGAGCATGTCTTCCTTCAGTGTCCTGGGGCCATTTGGCTTTGGAGGTGGTGGGACCGCATATGGTCTAATCTAGAGACAGAAATCCAGTGGCCAWGGGACTGGAGAGCCCTTCTTCTTGAAACCTGGTCCCCTGAGTCTATTGATGAATTCTCACAAAATCTGTTCAGCACGGGCAGAAGAGCGGTACTATGGGCCATATGGTTAAGAAGATGTACATATGAAATGGAGGGATTTCGGCTTGATGGGCCAGAATTCAATGATACAGTTAAACAACAAATACAAACAGACATTAGTTTAAAATGGGAGCAATGCAAGGAAAAAGTTCAATTTCTATCTTCGAAAAAGGAAATACTTCAACACATTCAACGATTTAACCAAAGCTGGCTAGGAGGAACACATGGGGGAAAGATAGGGAAGGTAAAATGGGAAGGGGCAAAGAGAGGTGAAGAAGAAGAACATGGTACGGATTACTGTCTTACTTTTAATGATTGGACTATGATAGACCCAGTAATCCCTTTACAACCAGCAACGGATCTTCCAGACCCCTTTCCCCCCTCAGCGCTGAGTATGATCTCAAGGGCTTGGTATGGGTTTGAATGAATATGAGACCAGGGATGTTCCAGCAATTCAGGAAGGGTAGATAATGAAGGAAAAGTGCTAGGGTGATGTTGTTTTGATCTGGCACTCCTATGGGGTGAAGAGGCACACTTTTATCCAACTCAATGGGTATTTATATTATTCATGATTTCAAGGGACGCTGGACCCGGTTTCCAGCAGGTGAAGCTCCCCACCTATAGATGGAGCGGTTGTTTTATATATAAAAAAAAAAAAAAAAAGGTAAGGTCTCGCCTCTTAAATAAAAAGAGAACGGGTTAAAAGAGGTTTAAAGAGGTTTTAAGAGGTAGTACTGCAATCTGTCTATACTTGCTGTTTACTACCTAGGGGGGCTGCTAATCAGGGCAGGTATTATTGCCGAGGATGGGTTTTCCGACATGTGTAGGGAGATAGCTGCAGCCGCAGGGAAAAACGGGAATCCCCCCGGGTAGAGAATATAAAGTTCTTCAGCCCTGTTGAACAAAAGGTACCCTCAGTGCCACATGTCTGTTTCTTAAGGGACGCTGGGCCCGGTTGTCAGCAGGTGTAGCTCCCCACCAATAGATGGAGCAGCCCAACGGGGAAACCCTCAATCCTGGCGGTTCTCTCACCACCGCCGGGATAGTGGGTTTTCGAAAGGCTATTCAAAAAAAAAAAACAAAAAAAAAAACAGGCAAACCTGTGCCTCAAGATGTTTCAATGGGATGCTGGGCCTGGTTCCTAGCAGGTGTAGCTCCCCACCAATAGATGGAGCAGCCCAACGGGGAAACCCTCAATCCTGGCGGTTCTCTCACCACCGCCGGGAGAGGGGGTTTTCGAAAGGCTATTCAAAAAAAAAAAAAAAAAAAAAAAAAGACGGGGAGGAGAGCAGTCGGTTGGGCCCTCTAGTGTACACGATGCGCCATTGAAGGTGTATGCATAGAGGTGGAGGAAGTTACAGAAATGGTAAAACAATACGTTGAGCAAGAACTCACGGCATGGTGGCAGAAAGTGAAAATCCAGTTGGGTCTTTTCCACATGAAAACGATATAACACAGGCTATTCTCGGGGGTTTGGCTGGGAAATGAGCAAGGGGATTGGATGGCCTGCATTCGATGGGAAGGCCACCTCCCGGAGCCAGTCACGATGAGTTCAGAATGGACTACACCATCTGCCACAACTTCCCTCAAGTACTGGACCAAGGTGGACCCAGTGGTTCCGCTGCATCCCCTTTCCCTGATCCCTTGCCGCCCCATCGCCTTTCTATGGTGGACATGCAGTGGTAGGAGGCGGACTAAGCAGGGCCTCAGCTGGGAAATGTAGTGTATCAGGCACCTAGCAGGATGAAGAGGCCGCAGGACCCCTGCCAACTGACGTGTGTATACAGCGGTCCCAGTTTTCAACTTACATGGTGTTTCATTGACGGGCCGGGAGCAGGGCCACAGCTTGGAAAATGTGGAGTATCAGGCGGCTAGCAGGCTGAAGAGGTAGTGTGCCCCTGCTAGCTGGCCCTCATAGATAGCCAAAGCCGGCTAATGGCCCCGGTATTGGACTTACGTGGTGATTCATGGATGGGATGCTGGACTCGGTTTCCATCAGGTGTCGCTCACCCCCAATAAATCGGCCGCTGTTAGAACGGGCTGCTCGTATCACCCCCTCTAGCACCCGGCATGGGATTTTGCAAAAAAAAAAAGAAAAAAAGAAAAAAAAAAACTGCTAATCGTACGGTTTCGGATCAGATTCTTTCCTTCAGTTTTCACAACTCCTGATTAGACATGCTGCCAAGTTTCTTGAGACTTGCCTTCTCTCTTGTTGCATTTCCATTCGCCTTCATAATGCTCACCATCAGCTCCCCAAAATACTCCTTGCCCATGCATCTCCCCTTTCAGAAACTGACCGGAATACACGCACTCCCTAGCCTGTGCAGACCGCCCTCTCCATGTCTTCACACCATAGCCAGTGATTTCATCCCCACAAAAATCTCCTTCGTAAGAAGCCAAGTCACCAACAATGAGCACACCATGCCCTGTACGCAAACCAAGAGTGTGTTAGCGTCCATAGTTCCATATGAATGTTTGCAAGAAGGGTATTGTGTATGAGTGTTTGTTTGTTTGTTTGTTTGTTTGTTTGTTTGTTTGTTTGCTTGTTTGTTTGTTTGTTTATTTGTTTTAACAAATCCCATGGCGTCAGGTAGGAGTAATGATACGAGCATGCACTCCTATCTGACTTATCGGGGCTCCATTCTATTGGTGGGGAGCTGCACCTGTTGGAAACCAGGTCCAGCGTCCCATGAGAAACAATGAAGGACTGAGGTACAGCACAAACTGGGAACCGGGCCCAGCGTCCCTTCTGATCAGTGCCAGTGGGAAATCTGCAACTGAGTGTTGAGTCTTGTGCCTCTTCAACCTGAGAGGGCGCTAGATATACGTATCTTCCTAGCACTTCTTTTTTTTTTTTTTTTTTTTTTTTTTNGGGCCCAGCGTCCCATATTGAATTATACAGATCATTGAGAAAATTTGAGGTCTTTTGAGGACATTTGAGATACCGGGGCCATTACCCGGCTTCGGCTGAGAACAAACTGTGAAACAGAGTCCTACGAATGCTCACTAATCTCAGGTTCCTTGACAAACCCTTTAAGACTTCCCAACACCGTCTTACTCCCTGCTGAGTTCTTCCAGGCCTCACGCCCCCACCCTGCTGGGTTACAGGGCAACACAACTCGCCCCAGCTCCCACCAGCGTCATCCCAGCAGTAACCCTTGGTCGTCCCTTGGGATGCCCACCCCAAAGCATCCCCAGATCTCTCTACCAGGCCTCACGCTCCTGCATCAGCAGGTTACAGGGCAACACCCCAGCACCGGCCAGCGTCGTTCTGGCATCGAACGGCCACAGATCATTGAGTATAACAGCATCAAAACTGCCTAAGATGGATTCCTAAGAAACCCTAAAGTCTTAAAACATTCATAAGAACAACTGACTTTTTTCCATTCAGACTCTACCAAGTCAAAAGAATATGTGTGTCAATAAGGGTCCCCATCAGGAATCAGATAGGTGAAACCTATTCAATCCCCCTACGACCACCACCAGCATGGTTAATTTTAGCACGAACCGAAGCTCTTCCAGGCCTCATGCTCCCATCAGGTTAGGTTACAGAGTTGCACCACCTTGCTCCAGCACCGGCCAGCGTTGCTCCTGTTACGACCCCCGATGACCACTGGGACTGCCCCCGCAAACAGCCCCCCAGAGCTCTCTACCAGGCCTCACGCCCCCACTAAGCTAGGTCACAGAGTTGCGCCACCTGGCTCCGGCTCCGGCCAGCGTTGCTCCAGCATCGGTCTTCGAGGGCCACCGACTTTTTAACCACCCCTCGCAGGATCACAGATGGCTTGCCAAATAGCACCTATTCCTACAACCTCCTCGAGAGGCAACCAAATGGAAAGTTATAGTAAACTGGGTGATAGATTTCTTCGAGAGAGATCGGCCCTCCTTCCCCCTACCCCTTCCCCCTCAGCCCTATACTACCTCCGCCGAGGAGAGTCACTCACTCTCCCTCGGCCCCAATATAGGACCAATCCTCTCCCACCCTTTCCCCAGGAGCACGCAGTTCCCACCTAAAGCATGCCCCCCCACCCCTTGCCCATTTCCGCCTCCACGGGGACTGATGGACCCACCCACAGTCCCTGCCCCAGAATAAGGCAACCCCCTACTCCGCCCCTATCCTCTTTGAGACATTCACCCGCCACCTTGCGATGCCCGTGCAGGATAGAGCTCCCCCCACCCCCTTCCCACTGTTCAGCCCTCCGGGAACAATCCGATCCAGCCGACTACAGTTATTGATGACACACTTACCAAAATATCATACGCTTGGATGTTGTTGGATTTTATTGGTGACGCTGGACAGCACCCTGACGATAATAAAGAGAATGATGGTGACAACCAACTCACCTGCTGATACAGAGCAACATCTAATTGAAAACAAGCTGATGATGATGATGATGATGATGATGATGAGGAGGAGGAGGAGGAGGAGGAGGAGGAGGATGAAAACGGAAAGATGATGCTGATCTTACCAAAGAGCAGCACCAACAGCCCCAATGATTACGAATTGATGATGATGATGATGATGGTAGTAATGATGATAGCGATGATGATGGTGATGTTGATAATGATGATGATGATGATGATGAAGATATGATGGTGATGTCAGTAATGATGATGATGGTGATGACGATGATGATGATGATGATGATGATGATGATGATGATGATGATGATGATGATGGTAAGGATGATGACGCATAGCACCCTATGATGACTACGATGATGATGATGTGATGACGAACTCCTTGGATAATAACCTAAAGATGATGATAATATGATGATGATGATGATGATGATGCTAATTATGATGAGCAAAACCCTATTTTCCTAGCAGTTAATCAAACTTGTTCTTGAGAAAGGTTGACCCCAACATTCACAGACAATGCAAGGAATTTTCCAGAGCATTCATACGCATACCACGACCTGGGAACTAAGCAAAGGTTCTAGAGAGGGAAAGGATCAGGGTAATCCGACAGGGGTCTTAAAGGTACAGTAGGATCAACGTTGCTCCCGTCATTGAAGGACAAGCTGTAGTTCCTTGGGATCTCCTCTTCGGCGTTCTCTTTTGTTCCTTCCCACTTCACCCGTCCCAATCTCCCTCCCCGGTCCCCTCCAAGCCAGTTCTGATTGAATGTTTCGATATGATGCAATATATTTTTTTCTAGTGATAAAAATTGTAATTTTTCCTTAAGGGACTCCCATTTGATATTGATCTCTGTTTGGATTTGTTGTCTGATAGTATTGGTGAATTCAGGGTCATCTAGGCAAGCACCTTCCATTTCCTGATTACACCTTCGTAACCAGATCGCCCACATGACCGCTCACCTTCTGATTGTGAATAGGTTTAGAGTGAAAGCATCTTCCTGGTTCGGATTCCGGGATTCTAGGAGGAGGGCCTTCCAATTCCAGGGCCAAGAGAGGGATGTTCCTAACTGGCTCCAAATCCTATCCCACCACCACCATGCCAAATTGAGCCCGGGCATCGCAAGAAAATGTGTTCTAAAGTTTTCGGTATGAGTTTGGATGGGAAGGCTGATTTGTAGAACTTACACCACGGAAGGGCTATTCCTTTTCGTTCCAATGATGTTCTATAGATGATCCAGCCGTTTGTAGGGAGACAACGATGGGCAATTTGCCATTGCAGCGATGCTACTTTAGTTAGTCTGGATTTAATAGAGTGGAACCACTTAATAAAGTGCAATTCTTCTTTACTTACATTTAGATGCCTCATCCAACGATCTTCTATTCTGTCTTTTAGGTTTATCTTAGGACGAAGCATCCTATAGGTAGACTTCACTCACAGGGTGTGAAGTGTCCTTACGTAAGAAAGCCCTGCACCATTTGAGGAGGACCAGATCCAGTAGACCGGTTGCAAAGGGAGATGAGAGATAGGTGTGTCTGGTTTTAAAGCAAGCCAACTTTCCTTAATCATAAGGACCCTGATCCTGAAAAGCAAGCTAACTTTCCTTAATCATAAGGACCCTGATCCTGAAAACTCTATTTACTTTGACCCACCTCGTGTGATTTTGTGGTCTCGCCTTGAGGAAACCATTCTCCCCTAGATCAAAAATAAATATAAGAATATCCCTTGTGTTGCGGATTTCAATTACATTTCCCACTATCCCTTGTTGATCGATGATGGATACCCAGTCATTTCGGATAAACTTCAGTCCATTTCTCAGGATTCTCATCCAGTCTAGGGGAATTATCTCTATACCACTAAAAGATATAAAGGGTCCGACGACACCGTCGACCGCGGACCCAAGGGAAACTGCAGGAGGGAGCCAACAGGGCAGTGGAACCGGTGTGGGGATGAGGGCAAGGTGGGAACAGGGCAGCGGGCAATGGAACTAGAAGCGAAACGACGCAGGCCCGCTGGCAAAAGCGCCAGCAACGGGGGGTCGGAGGCCGACACACGGACCCGTAGGAAAAAGAAGAGGCGTTTGGGGCGTTCGGGGTGTAAATTCTGTTGGGGAACTTGAGAAAGTGCAACGAGTTTTTTTTGTCGCTCTTCGCCGCCTGTGAATCCTGTGAGCTATTTTTTTTTGCAGTTCTGCTGACGCAGCGGTCTGTCCCGAAGCTTCGCGTCCGTCGGAAAAGGCCCTCACCGGCCAGTTTCTGAGGTGGTGATTGCATGGGTTCGCCAGTTTTTGCATGCGTTTGCGTCGCCACTCCGCACGTCGGTTTTCAACGCCTTTCCATCGCCATTCAACAAGCACATACCGGTGACTATCGCTGCTCGGTGAAGAGAGAGAGAGAGAGAGAGAGAGAGAGAGAGAGAGAGAGAGAGAGAGAGAGAGAGAGAGAGAGAGAGAGAGAG